TCAGACAGGGGATCCACGGGTGTCCTGACTGCCACCATGCGTTTCCAACAAAGAACCAAGATCCTGGAATGATTTTCTCGGTATCTGACACTGATGCACACCTGTACATCTCATTATGGCAGAAGTGACTGGATCACTGCCTCAGCCATGGGTTTTGGCTACAATCTGCATCCACACTAAGTCCATTCGCTGCAACTGTACTTAATGAGCTTCATGCTCGTTAACCTGTGCAGAATTGGGTGGAAGACAATCCTGAAATGCAGCCCTAGCCTCTACATAAATGCCTGCACCACTCTCCCCAGGGCAATGCAAGTACAACACTTGAAGTAATCTTGTGCAAAACACAAGATCCGGTACACAGTTCTTAAGCTAAACGTTCTCTAATCCAGAGTTCAGAATAAATCTGATGTTACAGCTCTGTGCTTTTCCCAGAAAAACCAGCAATGTGCTGAGTATGAGCTCAACGATTGACTGGGATGCCCAGTTAATTAATCCTTCATCGCCTACCCCCAAGTGGCATGGGGGGGGGATACTTGATAAATTCCCTGCCATTGTTTATTTCACATCCTCCAGCCAATTAACATCTGTTCAGCACTGAACACCCTGTTGGCTTTCAAAGAATAAACTTTCTAAATTGTATTTCTATTGTGGGGTGAAACAGTGTGACGATCTAAGGAGGGATCTAAGGCTGCAACCTTAGAGCCCTTCTTGTAGGTCGGCTTGGTCGCCAAAGCATACAGGGCACTGCTAATTGCATTACCGACGCTTTTCCTTACCAGATCAGAAAATTCATTGCTTCCCAAATCTAATCGCTCCAGCTGTGTAAGTCTGTGTATTGACCTGCAGGGAACAAGAAAGGATTTTAGGTCCCAGCTAAGACAAAATGTCACAAATGGCCAAAACTAATCCCCCCACCCCCCCAAAAAAACCTGGAGGAGCCAATTAGGTTTTATAATGCTGCTGATGCCCTTAGGTGAGCCATAGCATGCATGAAGACCACAGGCCTTCATCTAAAGTAGAGAAACTAGAGGAAAAAAATGCAAATTTTCAGTCTTAAAGTAACACCATTCAAAAATGAACAAATGACTAAGGGAGACACACAGAAAAACCACTCAAGTTTTGGTTTCATTCAATTAATGACTGCTTATATTGTATATCCCTTTGTTTTAAAAAGTCATATTACTGATGTTCTGTCAGAATATTGCTATTAAGACATTATTAAGATTCAACCGAGGCACTGACTGGATTCTTGGGTCTGACCGTCCCTTTAGAGCACTGTTTCCCAATCGGTCCTTGGGGATGTACAGACAGTCCATGTTTTTGCTCCTTACCGGAAGCTAGGAGGGAGCAAAAATGTGGAGTGTCGGGCAGGGAGCTCGGAGGGAGCAAAAACATGGACCAGCTATGGGTCCTTGAGGAGCAGATTGAGAAACACTGCAGTAGTAGCAGAAGGGCAATGACCTCAGCAAGATAGATGTCACAGTTACAAATTACGCTGGGAAATATGTTCTCAGATAGCTACAATAAAGTGATGAAAGATTAATGGACTCATTATGGAATTAATCAGGCATTTTAGTAGCTTTCTCAAATGATCAATTCAGAAGGTAATCTTGTGCAGGGAAAAGACCTAGGTGGCCATTTATTAATTGATTAATACCATAAATGTGAATGAGGGCATAGTGTAATGGACACCACTGAGCTGCCCAGACCTCACCTATGGATTCAGGCAACTGCTGCAACATATTGGAGGACAGAAGGAGGTCTTCCAAGGACTCGCACCCGGATATTTCTGTGTCCAGCGTCTCGATCCTGTTCTTCGATAAGTCCAGGTACCTTAGCTGTCTCAACTTTCCTACAGACTTTAGGGGCAAGAAAAGGGAAAAGTCTCAGAGGGGTAAGTAGCAGGAGAGCTCAGCATGAATGGTCTGTGAGGCTGAGAGAGGCAACAGCTCGCTTATGACTGTTATGACTGAAAAACACCAGGACATGAACACATTGAATGTTTCAGCATTTTAAAGCGGACTTATTATGCTCATTTTCATTGATCATAATTTGATTTTTGGGGTCTAAGTACTAGAATAGATTTATATATACTTCAGTGTTCCAAAAAGAGATTATTTTTCTCATACTTTACATCTCTATTTACCCACTGATTGAAATGCTCTGTTAGAGCTTTAAGCCCTACCCCTGATGAGCCCAGTGTCCTCTGATTGGTCAGCATTCCACATTAGTCAACTTGCTCCACCTGCCAATAAGAATTATGCTACAAGGTGACCTCATCTTGTCACGGAAGTAAGAGCTATAATTCCAACAAGGTGATTCAGGCTAATTAGAGAAGAGTGGTTTCTGTGGTCAGAGTTACTCCTTTTGGAGTGTACTTTGGGCCTTAAGACCATTCACATGCACATAAAGCTATATAACACACTAAAGGAAAGGGATAAACCGAAAAAGCATAATAGGTCTTCTTTATGTCATGATGCATAGATTCCTTACATGAAGCACTGTGATATAAATTTCACTGGCAGGGTGAGATAGAGTGAGCTACTTACCCCAGGCATTGTCTGCAGTGAGTTATTGTCCATCCACAGTTCTTTAAGATTGTGTATCTGCTCCAGGACCTCTGGCTAAAACAGAAAGCAGGTGTCTAGCACAAAGGCAATTTAGATAAGTGCGCTCTTTGCAGAGGGAGTTGAAATGTCAGCTCCAGTATTTATCATAAAGTGTTGAAATTTTTATTTTATTTCTCTTAACTTTAAAAGATTTTCAACAATTCAAATATTTTGTCTAGGTATTAAACAACAATGAAGACCTGTGTATAGGTGTGTATGTGTGGATTATATTTATATTACAATGTTCCTCATAATGTAATAAAAACCTGTTATTTTGACATTGTGGGGACCATTTTTTCAGGTCCCCACAAAGATCTGTCAATGCAATCAAAAAACTAAAAAAAAATATTGTACTTTGTTTGGTTACTTATGGTTTAGGTTAGGGCTGGGTGGGGGGTTAAGGATTTTGTTGGGATTAGAGTTTTCCTACAGAAAGAAACGGTGAGTCCCCACAAACATATAATTACAAACCAGTGTGTGTGTGTGTTCATGTGTGTGTGAGGATAAATGGTATCTGTTACAATGAAGCCAGTGCCTTCATACAGAAATCTGAAGAAATAACTATTTTACTTTCTACAGAATTGAATGATCTTTGACTGAACCAGTCAAACAACTTTGTGGGCCTGGGTAAATTTACAAGAATGTTTATAAAATCATTCAAATCTGAATACAAAAACAGAAATCACTATTAAATTATGAAAGCACGAACTCTGGTTTCACTTTGGACACAAATTACACCGTGTGTTAAGGATACTTTAAATGCAATGTGAAGGATATTTCTTGTAATTTATTTATTTGTCAACAGTGATGAGTTCCACTATTTTCCTAGTTACTTTTTGATTCTTTGTGAAACAACAGAGAACGTGACAGTCCTTGGTAACCACTCAATGCCTCCTGTTCTCGTTGGAAACAGATTAAACGCTTGGCTTAAGCTGTCGACTTCCTGTGCAGAAGCACATCTTGTCCTTTGTCGTTGCCTTGGTACTTATTTCTTCATTGTTGCCTTTCATCACAAATCTACACTGTTATGTAACTAGTGCAAATACATAAAGAGTTAAGGTTTGGTCTGTGACTGAAGGGTGTAATAGATTAGAGGCTTGGTGTATTGTAAGGGGGAAAGTCATCTGTTAAATGTATAATTACATTGCTGTGACTAAATTATTGGATTTTCAGAGCAACTGACAATATCACATGTAAAGTATAGTACAATTTCACACTTCAGATGGCTGAAACAGAAAAAGGTAATATTCACTGCAGTTGTGAACCATTTTAAAATTATTTTTCTCTAATGAAATTATTATTATATTATTATTGTATGACAAAGACAAATTTTTCAATCCATATTACCATTTCAACACGTTAATATTTATTGTACATAGAATTTTAATTGCATAATTTATACAGGGTTGCCAACTTTGGACAGCTGGCTAGAGTGAGATTTTCAATTTGACACAAGGCTATACACACATTTACATGTATGTAAGAGTTCTATTACCTTGAAAATAGTCTGTAGGGTTTGGAACCTACTCCAGCGCTGCAGCTAATTTTAAGTTTATAATGGAATAGTATGGATTTGCCATAAAATTTCTTGTGTGTGTCTGAAAGCGTGAGTGTCATGCCAGATGTGCAAGAGATGGCAACCCTGTTTACATTGGCTAAGCAAACCATTAAACTGCTGTGCAGCTGATGAGAGAGAAGAAGATTCATTTTGACATTGAAAGGCTATGGAAATAACGCCTCAAGTATCAGTTTCTAGATAGAAAGAAAAGGTAGCAGAACTACAAAACAAACCCTCAGAAACATCAGTTTAGGATCGTTAAAGAAAGTAAATTGTGAAAAAATGGATGGATTTTTGAAGCAGCAGGGAAGCCAAATTATTACTGATAACATCCCCAACCTGCCACAACAAATGCCATCTCGGCAGTTTTAAAAGGAAAAGAAAGAGTGGAGGCAGGCCCATTTTACGGGCTGGAAAAAAACACATACGGCTTGCGGGCCCGGAGAATGAAAACTCTTGCTCTTTACCGCACTGAAGGGCTCACAGAAGCACAGCCTGCCGGAGGGCAGTGCAAGATCTAAAATGAATAAAACTAATAAAAGGAAAAGGGCAAATGGAGATGTGCTGAAGTGGCACTGCTGGTTATGAAATTCAGACAGGGGATCCACGGGTGTCCTGACTGCCACCATGCGTTTTCCAACAAAGAACCAAGATCCTGGAATGATTTTCTCGGTATCTGACACTGATGCACACCTGTACATCTCATTATGGCAGAAGTGACTGGATCACTGCCTCAGCCATGGGTTTTGGCTACAATCTGCATCCACACTAAGTCCATTCGCTGCAACTGTACTTAATGAGCTTCATGCTCGTTAACCTGTGCAGAATTGGGTGGAAGACAATCCTGAAATGCAGCCCTAGCCTCTACATAAATGCCTGCACCACTCTCCCCAGGGCAATGCAAGTACAACACTTGAAGTAATCTTGTGCAAAACACAAGATCCGGTACACAGTTCTTAAGCTAAACGTTCTCTAATCCAGAGTTCAGAATAAATCTGATGTTACAGCTCTGTGCTTTTCCCAGAAAAACCAGCAATGTGCTGAGTATGAGCTCAACGATTGACTGGGATGCCCAGTTAATTAATCCTTCATCGCCTACCCCCAAGTGGCATGGGGGGGGGATACTTGATAAATTCCCTGCCATTGTTTATTTCACATCCTCCAGCCAATTAACATCTGTTCAGCACTGAACACCCTGTTGGCTTTCAAAGAATAAACTTTCTAAATTGTATTTCTATTGTGGGGTGAAACAGTGTGACGATCTAAGGAGGGATCTAAGGCTGCAACCTTAGAGCCCTTCTTGTAGGTCGGCTTGGTCGCCAAAGCATACAGGGCACTGCTAATTGCATTACCGACGCTTTTCCTTACCAGATCAGAAAATTCATTGCTTCCCAAATCTAATCGCTCCAGCTGTGTAAGTCTGTGTATTGACCTGCAGGGAACAAGAAAGGATTTTAGGTCCCAGCTAAGACAAAATGTCACAAATGGCCAAAACTAATCCCCCCACCCCCCCAAAAAAACCTGGAGGAGCCAATTAGGTTTTATAATGCTGCTGATGCCCTTAGGTGAGCCATAGCATGCATGAAGACCACAGGCCTTCATCTAAAGTAGAGAAACTAGAGGAAAAAAATGCAAATTTTCAGTCTTAAAGTAACACCATTCAAAAATGAACAAATGACTAAGGGAGACACACAGAAAAACCACTCAAGTTTTGGTTTCATTCAATTAATGACTGCTTATATTGTATATCCCTTTGTTTTAAAAAGTCATATTACTGATGTTCTGTCAGAATATTGCTATTAAGACATTATTAAGATTCAACCGAGGCACTGACTGGATTCTTGGGTCTGACCGTCCCTTTAGAGCACTGTTTCCCAATCGGTCCTTGGGGATGTACAGACAGTCCATGTTTTTGCTCCTTACCGGAAGCTAGGAGGGAGCAAAAATGTGGAGTGTCGGGCAGGGAGCTTGGAGGGAGCAAAAACATGGACCAGCTATGGGTCCTTGAGGAGCAGATTGAGAAACACTGCTTTAGAGTACTTGGTCACATCTGTTTTCTGTTATGCTAAATTCCAGCTGGGAGATAGAGCAATTAGCAGCTGGTTTGTTACTGGATATCAAGAGCTCCATGGAAACAGATTCATTAGCTCCCTAAGGAGATTTCAGTATGCATTGATCTCAGAAGCTTCTCCCTAAATGGCTGCGGACCCAACCATACACCATTATTTATGAAACTCAATGAGGCAGTAATGACACAACACATTGCACACAAACACAGAGAAACATCATCTCAGCTAAAAACCACTCAGTAATTCCATATGGGTTCAAAGAATACCCATTTCACTTTGGCAGTATTTCCTCTGTTGTAAATTATATGCCATCTTCCCAAGGGACATAATTATAGTTTGGAATCCAGAGGACAGCATTTCATGTGACGCTGCAGGTGTGTGTTTCCCCACAGAGCTACTTCCTGTGTAACACATTTCACTGAGCGCCACTTCTGCCCCATTGGCCGATAAAGCTTTACCCAAACATCAGGGGTAAAGCCTGGATGATGGAGGAGACGCTGAACTCTGAAGTATGTCTCCTGTTAGGGGGGACTGATCACCTTCACTTCTCACACAAGTCCCATGAGCCTGGCCAACGATGAAGACATGGACGTAACTGGGCACTCAGCCTCATACTACAGCACATCGCAGGAAGACGTCCTTCAGTAAGCAAGCAAACTGGCGCATGGTACATCAAATAAATCCCCTTCCATGAAGACTATCCGCATCTGCAGATTATTGTGACAAATGTGCATTCAGGGCCAATTTCCCCAGATGCTGCTGGGAGAATGATGAAGCCTTGGCGCTCCTGGGGAATGGTTTGCACCCGCTTCTGCTTTAATGATTCAGACCCGCTATATATGCTTACTGGGTGCGAGGTTGTCAGTGTGTGTATATATTAACAGCTATATTTCATGGCCCCGCTACCTCTATGGGTGAGAAAACAGCTTTCCATATATCAAGGGTGCGTAGGATGCACTGGGGGGACAGTGACAAGTGTCTGGAATATAATTCATGTCGGATGATCTGGGGGGGTAAATATTCACAGTGATGGACTCTGTAATCTGTGTATGTATATACAGCATATTTAAGGCTATGTCCACACCAGTGTTAATTTTGACAGCAATTTTTATTTAGTTTTAGTCATAGTCTTTTGACTAAAATGTAATCTAGTTTTAGTCATAATTTAGCCATGCAAATTATTTTAGTTTTAGTCTAGTTTTAGTTGACTAAATATCATAAGATTACAGTCGACTAAAACCTCAGTTGATTTAGTCGACTAAAATTAAAAGTGCAAAGTGTAATGTTCGATTTCTTCGATTTCTGAAAGTCATTATGCTCACCAAGATGAAATGAAACCAATGTTAAGGAATGGTGTTAAGGTCCGACTGTGCAGTATCCAAAGATACAGATTTCACTCTTATTTGAAACATAAACATATGTTTATTTACCCGGAAACTGAGTACTGTAAAATCAGTAGTGCCATTAGTGCAAAAATAAAATCACTTAAAAAAAGTGCATAGGCTATAATGCCACCAGGCCTGCTCTCTCTGAATATTAAAATAAAAATAATAAAATAAATATTTGTAGAGGGGTGGCATGGTGGTGCACTGTTAGCACTGTTGCCTGGGACCTGGGTTCAAGTCTCCGCCTGGGTCACATGTGTGTGGAGTTTGCGTGTCCTCCTCGTGTTGTTGTGGGGTTTCCTCCGGGTACTCTGGTTTCCCCCCCCCCCAGTCCAAAGACATGCTGAGGCTAATTGGAGCTACTAAATTGCCCATAGGTGTGCTTGTATGAGTGAATGGTGTGTGCGTGTGCCCTGCAATGGGCTGGCCCCCCATCCAGGGTTGTTCCCTGCCTCGTGCCCATTGCTTCCGGGATAGGCTCCAGACCCCCTGCAGCCCAGTAGGATAAGCAGGTTGGAAAATGGATGGATATTTGTAGATGTAGTTTATTGGTGATTTCATGTTTGCTGAAGTTTCCGGTTTTTAGCAATAAAGTAATGTTATTTGATATATAAATCAACTCGGGTGAAACAAAAAATGTACGTTTTCAAGGTTGCCAAATATCAAGCATCTGGCCAGACACATGCTTTCAAAAGCAAAAGGTTTTGATCTGTACTGAGTTAATTTGATACTGCAATGTTGGTACAACTAATAGGCTACTTAAATATATCAAACTAAATAGTTAGACATTACGATCTTCTAGAGAAATTTTCTCTAACTGGACCTCTTTAAATTTTAGTTGAATACCCATACCTTACGCAAACTACATTAGTTATGAATGTATCTTGTCTCTGGAAAACGTTTTTGTCTCGTTTTTATTCATTGATGAAAGGGTCAATACACTTTATCATAGTCTTAGGCCATGCAAAATCATTTTTATTTAGTTATCGTCTCGTTTGAAAATAAAGGTAGTTGACGATAACTATGACAAAAATTTCTCGTCAACAAAATTAACACTGATTCACACTGCTATGTTTTTGTTTAAAAACAGAAAATGAAATTCATCCAGACAGGTGTTTCCACCTCAAAAAGTTATGAAAGTGGGTCCATCCTGACTGAAATGAGCAAAAATGTATATCACATAGCTACTAGCCAATCCTGGGCACCCGCCCATCAACGTAAACAACAATAGAGACTGGCAAAAAATCTTTTTGCACAAATATGCAGCAGTTACACTGTAACATGCTATGTAGCTGTATACAGATCAGCAACAGGGAACGTACCATTGAAAGCAGCTGCAAGAGAAACAGGGGAAGACTTTCAGGGGCTCAGACACTAGTGATTAGGGAAATGGAACGATCCACCCGCCGGTGCCCCCCTGCCCCGACAACAAAATGTATCATCAGGGTTAAAATGCATATCAGTACTGAGATCAGTACCTATGATACCAAGCTTGGTATTGGATCAAGTCAAATCAAAAAGAAAACCAGTAGTATCACCCATCCTTACTGTTTACTTTGTGTAGTATGACCAGTTCAAACAAGGAGAAGTTGTAACCAGCAGGATCAATTGAGGGAAGGGCCACGTGATGATTCAATTCCAGTTAGGGAGCTTTTAGAATCTGTTTTTAATGTATTTGCCATTCGGCAAAATACTTCCCATGATCCCAAAATCCAGGGCCGAAACTTAATCCCTCCCCTGTGTACCAAGTTCATGCACAACAGTATGCATGGACTCAGACACACCGCGGTTGCCATTATGCATGTTATCTAATTTGGATGTTTTCTAATGGCATAGCTTGACCCCCAACAAAAAATAAATATATTCAAGTCTACTATTGTAACTCAGCATTGTTTTCTACTTACATCTGTACAGAAAGGACACTTCCTCCACGATCGTCACAGACAAGTCTAAGCAAGCAATGTTCTTTGCTGCTCCGTTGGTCTTGAAGAATAGCTTAGCAACCATCACAGAATATATTATGTCATCTGGGTACCATTTGCCAACAGTCTCATTCATACTGAAGATTCAGACATACTGCTCATGTCGCATACTGTATTTCGCCTGCTACATAGCAGAAAAGTGTGATTTCAGACACACTCACCATTTTTCACTAATATTTTTTTTTTTTTTTCAGAAATATATGGCTTTCATTTTCGGAGGTTGAAAACTACAGGATGGTGTGGACGTAGGGCAAAAAGGAAGATTAATGTGTGCATTTTTAAACACAAACATAGCAGTGTGGATGTAGCCTAAATGTTCCCCTAGTCAGTGAAGAAAGGAGATCTATTAAATTAATACTTAAACAAGAATCATAATTTTAAAAGGGTTACTTAGTTAGTAGAAAACGATCCATTAAGTGTATTGATTCTGACTTAATTGTGTTTATGCTGACCTGCATCTGTTTTTTGTCATTTAGAAAAAGAAGAACCTTTATTTGTTTATTTTGCCAGAGCAGGTCCCACCCACCACTCCCCAGAAAAAAACATTTGGTTGTGCATTGTAGTTATTTTCAGCAGAGGAATGACATTACGTTCTCAGGACGAACATCAGCACTCACTTTGGCAACGTTTTTAGGTGATTCTCCCGTAGCTCCAGAATGCGTAACTTTGATAGTCTGAAAAGGCATTTGAGATGAAAAAGTAAACATCAAAAAAGTTGCAAACAGGTACTTTTTCAGCGCAGCCATTAACGGAGCAAATGCAACTTACATTTCATGGTGTGCTTACCAGCAACAAAACAATCTGATCCAAGTAGTGCTGTGTAAATAACAATGGGTTTCTTTCCGGGTAAAGAATCATACCTCATTCAGTGGAACGACATCACTCAATTAATTTAGTACCAACCTCTGCCGAATAACGGTGCCCATTACTTTTGATTACAACACAACTGTAAGGTGTTTCAGGATGTAACGCTAAAATATGCCTGTCACTCTGAGGCCCCCTAGAGGACGGTGGACCCATCCGCCTACAGCGCCGTAAGCCAGGGAGCAGCGCCAGACCCCACGAGCGGCTCTCACCTCCCGAAGTTGGCCGGGAGGTATTCCAGAAAGGCATCGTTTAAGAAGAGCTGCGTCAGGTTGAGGAGCTGCGTGAAACCGTCCGGGAGCCTGAGGGAGAGGCGATGGTCAGGGTGGCGAGTTTCCCCTTAGAGGCCACAAGCGACGCCAGACTGTCCTAATCCCACACAGCTCTCTGTGTGCCAGGCACTGCCAGCACCTTCACCCGCACGCCATCGCGGCGGAACACCACCAAGGTCTCCTTACAAAACACAGGCCCATTTCCCAAAGCCTCATGGTGGATTAGCTCTGAATTTATGCTTAAAAATATGTCTCTGCCCCTCTGTCCTGCACAATTACAGCAAACACAAATCTCCAATTCCATTATAACTACTAGTAAGAGGAGCCAATTCAATATTTAATGCACTGTGTTCATACGCCTGTCGTTATTTTGTAATTTTTAATAATGCATGGCCTTTTAACGTGCGTTCAGTGAGCAGGGTCATCCAAGAGGAAAGCACTCGCTGCAGATCAGTCCCTCAGCATACTTCCAGAAACATCCTGGTGCTCGTTCACTTACTTGGTAATTGGATTGACGCTGGCTTCCACAACTGTTAGGCATTTACAGCATTTAATGTTATCGGGGAACTCTTGAATACCTAAACACAATATAAGGCATTACAATGCAGCAATGGCAGCAGGCTTCAGGAATATAGGCTATATGCACATATAGTGTTACAAATAAATATCCTTGCAGTAAATTAGTTTAGAAATAAACACGGTAATACTGCTGATCAAATACATATTGTATTGAATTAAACTGGACTAGAGGGGATGATTGGTCCATAAACCCTTGATCCATGAACCAGTTTAAACAGCTGTACAGTTTTCAAGTTCTTACCATTTTTACTGATGTCTAACTCCCTCAAGTTTACAAGGCTAGCGATGGTGGTTGGCAGGTTGGAGAGGTCATTGTCGGGAATACTCAGTTTTCGGAGCGCTTGACAGTTAAACAGTTGCTATAAAAGAGAGAGAAATCCACTTAAACAGAGGTCGAAAGACCATTAAAGGATGGTTTATTGTCATTATCCTGGTAGTGGAAAAATATAATCACTCTGCAACTGTATCTAACATGCATCTTGGGAGTCTCTAAACAACATCCTGTTGTGAAACTGCACCCAGAAATTGAGCTAATTGATAATGATACCAGAGCACAAGAAAATTTCTAAAAACATCCAAAGGAAATTGTTTTATTGCAAAGGGTTGGCAGCCCATCCTGGGTTGTTCCCCTGCTTTGTGCCCATCGCTTTTGTGATTGGCTCCAGACCCTCTGTGACACTGAATAGGACAAGCGGGCACAGAAAATGGATGGATGGAAATTGTACAGTGTGCAATGGATACAGAAAAGGATCACCCCCTGTCAACAAAAATAATTTTTGTCACTTTACAGTCTGAAATGAAAACACAACAGAAATAGCACCTGTCCTGAAAAATAATCCTGAATAAAAAACAAGAATAATTGAGATTGAAAAAGGATCACCCCCCTGCATCAATACCTTGAGCTACTTTTGCTTTTAACAGAGTCTGTTCAGACATTTCTCTACCACCTTAACACACAGAGCAGTATTTGCCCACTCTTGCCCACTTAGAGTAGCTCAGTCAGATTGGATGGTGCCTGTTGGTGGCCTGCAATCTTCAAGTCAGTCCACATACTTTCAGTGGGGATTAGGTCTGGGCTCTGACTAGGCCATGCAGGGACACTCCTCTTTTTCTCCTTCAGCCTCTGGTCAATATGGCGGTGTGCTTCGGGTCGTTGCCATGTTGAAAGGTGAAATATCTTCCCACCTTCAAATTTTCTGACAGGGGGCAGCAGGTTTTCTGCAAGAACGTGATGGAATTTTGCCGCATCCGTTTCCCCTTCTATCCTGCCAAGTGCTTCAGTCCCAACAGCAGTGAAACACCCCCACAGCAGGACGCTATCCCCCCCATGCATTACTGCAGGCATGGTGTTCTTTGAACACTGAGGTATATTGGCTTTCAGCCAGATGTTCTGTTGGGCACTGAGACCAAAAAGTTTGGTCTTGGTCTCATCTGACTGTGGTACCTTTGTCCACTTAGCCTCAGAATCTTGAGTGTCTTGGCAAACCTCAAACGAGACTTAATGCGGCTTTTCTTGAGGAGTGGCTTTTCCTTGCAATTCTCTCATACAAGCCAGATTTGGAGAGCACCTGTCACATACACACAATGACCACTCTTAGCTATGAAGTCCTGTAACTCCTTCGGAGTCGCCATTTGCCATTTGGTAGCCTCTCTGACCAGTTTCCTCCACACTCTGCCATCCAGTTTGGACAGACAAACTGATCCGGGCAGGAGTTGGGTAGTACCAAACACCTTCCACTTCTTAATTATGGACTTAACCATGCTCCTAGGGATAGATAAGGTCTTTGAGATCTTTTTGTACCCATCTTCTGATTTGTGTCTGCGCATAACATTGTCTCAGAGATCTTTTGAAAGTGCCTTTTCACCCATAGCAACTGGAATGTTCCAGGAGCAGCTGCTCTTTTTAACTACTCATAATTATTACAGCGGATCACAGCTGGGAGCAGATTACCTTGGTGTGTGATCCAGAAGGTGAATGACTATATCTGATTGAGTTTACCTGATTGAGTGCTGTTCTTGGGAGTGTGGGGGCAGGGGGGAGGGAGGAGTGATCCTTTATCCATTTCAATCATTCTTGTTTTACATTTTTAATTATTTTTCATGACTGTCGATATTTTTTATTTCACATTGATATTATCAGTTGAATTGAGTAAATAAAGCTGGACAAATTCAATTCTTTTGTGGTTTCATTTGTCTGTAAAGTCACAAAATGTGAATTTTTGACGGGGGGTCATTTCTATACCCACTGTACCTTAAACAGAGAACTTGCACTCCAGTGCAATATTATTTTGATACATCCTTTGATTGATATTAATTCAAACCACTGCTAGGTTTTGATTTTTCCCAGATTGAGGTGCATGGTTTAATTCCAAAATCCAAATCGCTATCCAGACTCAGAGTTGGAAGCCAAGCACAGTTAGATCAGATGCAATCAGAGGGAGAGAAAAAATCAAGGCAAGAGATCAAAAGCCAGAGAAAACCAAAACCACCACTCAACCCATAACTCAAAAATGAGAGATGAGACTTCACAGCAGGACCTGTATCCAGAGGGTTCAAGAAGTCACAGGTAATATGGAACAGGTTTCTGGTATTGTAAAGTTTGTGCATATTCCTAATTTGATTGTCATATTAATATGTAATACAATTAATCAGCATTAATATAAATTAGTCCTGAACCACTTTTTGGTACCCTGATCTGATCCATTCAATATCTTCTGATTCCGAATCCCAATCCAATCTTAAGATAAACAAATAAATGATATATATTACACACACACACACACACACAGACAAACACATATATAGGAGACTGCTTGTCAATTAACTTTTTTTTTAACTCATAATAATTTGCCTTTCAATTTATTACTACTTGAATGATTTAGAACTACAGGTCTAATGTGATTTTTTTTTATATAAACAAATGAATAAAGAAATGATTTTTGTTATGAAACCAATAAACTTGCAGTTTTTTTTTACTGAATTAAGCAAGCATCCCACCTTGGACAGGATGCCAGTACATTATCAGTACATACAAATTTACACATTAACTGCGTGTCTTTGGACAGCACAAGCAAACCCAACATAATACAGGAAGAACATGTACTGTAGATCCACAGACACTAGATCTGAGGTATGAGGCGATAGTGCTACCTACTGAGCCCCAAAGCTGTGCTTCGGCTTCATATTTTCTAAATTACCTATCAACTTTATGATTTCTGCTGAACATTCTTACATTTTGATGAAAAGAAGAAGTTCCTCAGGTTATTTGGACATTTTACTGTTTATGCTCGACCCCTGCACTGCTTGGTATTGAATATACAGCTGCGATAAAAATTAAGAGAGCACAGCACAATTTTTTGTTTCACTCATTTCTCAATTTATGGGTGTTCGACTGTGAATAATACATTTTGCAAACTGCACCCTGGACCTTCTCTGTTTCTCATTAATGAAGGGCTTCTTCCTTGCTTAATGGACTTCGGTCCTGTTTCTAGAAGCCTGATATGAACTGTCCTAGCAGTGCACTTCACACCTGCACTAAAAGTTTCCCAATATTTTTGACGGTCACTTGATGTCATCCTTGGATTCATGAGAAACTGTCAGATAAGTTAACAGTCATCTCTGGCATTAGAAAGTTTCCCCTCTGCTTAGCTGGTTTTTGGTTATTCCCAGTGTCTCCTGCTTCACCTTGTTGTTGGGTACTGCTGTCTTAGAAATTTTGAACCTGGAAGCATCCTGCTGTTCAGCATAACCTTCTGCCAGCAGAACCATGATTAAACCAGGATTTAAAAATGCAGATTTGTTTAAAAATGTAGAGTGGTCTCTTAATATTTTCTGTGGCTGTAAGATGTCAGTCCATTCGGCAGCCACCCAGAAACCTTCGCTTAACTGCCTTTTCCTTACATATTTCTCTTGCCCTCCTTAATTCCCTAATTCCTAGACAGGACATGTGACTTTTCAACATGAAGGTTTCTTTGGAAAGCAGGGCAGCAATCATGGCCTCGTCATCATCTTTCAACAGCATTTAATAAGAGCTGAGTAGGAACAAAAATCACGGCAAAATAACAGACTATAATAAAAAGGTTATGTTGGGGGGAAATAATCTCCTGGATGATCATCCTGTGCAATAATATTTTAATAACTCCCAGCCCATTGTCCCCCCCCCTCACCTTGGGCAGCTCCTCTATCTGGTTGGCATCCAGGTACAGCTCCTCCAGCGTTCGCTCAAAGCTGAAGATCTCCTTGGGCACCTGCTGCAGGCTGCAGTGGGAGTAATCCAGCACGGAGATGACCTCCTCCTCGCCGCGGAAGCATCGGCAGGGCACCAGACGGCCGATGATCTTCCTCTTGGTTGTCATCTCCAGAGACTGCACTGACAAGGCAGACAATCAGGATGAAAGGGGAGTAAGGTTCAAGGGTCAAGATGCATCACAAATTCATCTGGAATGCAGAAGAGTTCACAATAACATCACATGACTCTGTAGATTATATCTTGTAGATTTGTAGATCATAATACGCATATGAACCTGATGATTAGGTCAGGCATTTCAACAGAAAATGTACAGTTGACCTGTCCACATCGCGGGGGTTAGGGGTGCAGGCCCCGGACAATCTGGGAAAACCGTGTAATATTTCTGGTCCCCTTGGTGAGCAAAGCGAAAGGAAGTGAAAAGATTCCCATTTAATTTCGCATGAAAACCCCGCCATAAATAGAATGGAGTCACAGGAGTGCCATAAAAAGAATAAATCTGTAAAAGAATAAGGAAATAAATGTTGAATAACAAAGTGAAATAAGTACAAATAAAAATAAAAGAATAAGGAAAATAAATTAAAAATAAAGGAAAAAGAAAAATCATGATTTTCTTTATAGTTTTTGGTTTTACCGTTTTGCTTTTAATTTTATCATATTGCTTTTAATACTGTATTGCTTTTGCTACATTGCTTTCAATTGTACCAGACTGCTTTTACTTTTACCATACTGCTCTTAGATTTGCGGTATTGCTTTTAATAAAGGAACTAGCTGCCAATAAACTGGCTTTAGGCACGACTTCCTGCCCAGGCTGGGTAGTCAATACCAGCATACATGAATCCTACTTTCTACTTGTTTTGTGCTCAAATCAAAAATGGAAAAAAACGGATAACAAGCATTCACATTTTGTTTTGTTTTTTTCATCTGACACAAGAGGCGTAACTTACAGAAAATGTTTTAGTTAAATTGTGGTCATGTTTTATTAATGTTGAAATGTGGGCATGTCTTACTGAAGGCACTTTCACACTGCAGAAACTTTTTCTGAAACCAGAAACTTTTTCTGGAACCAGGGACTTTTGTCATGTTCATACCACGGGAACTCAAATTGATTGTAGTTCCTGACAGGCCGTATCTACTCCAGACTACGTCATTGTCCTTCGAACAGGAACTACTGGGGAGCCGCAAGGATGAACTTGCCGACTGGTTGACGACAAACACCGGTGTTAACTTGGAAGTAAAGTGGAAGTGCAGGAAGAGAGAAGTAGTGGAGCAAAAATTGAGCAGATGGAATTATTTTTGTACCTTTACATTTTTAATATATCAATTAAATTTTTTGCATCAGAAAATTCAATCTAGGCTATACCTAATATACTTTAATCTAATATGAAACCAATCAGTGCTTATCAGTGGGATCACAGTACATTGTTTTGTATTCTGTGGAAAATGAAAGATCCATCTGCTGTCCAGGTATAATAAGAATCATAAATATATGTGATGGGTCCTTTAAGTAAAGTATAAATAAAAACCTGCATCCCATTTTGATCGCAATCGATCCCCCAATAACTAACAAACAACTAGCTAACAAAAAAACTTACAGTGGAAACTGCTTATATACTGTAGTGATCTCGTCTGTCTGGGTGACATTGATCACTATATGTGGATAATCATTACTTTTAACAATACGGTAACAAACTTTAAGTTTAAGTTTCCAGTCAGGACTGTAGTTTGGCTATAGCTACTCAACAAACAACATACAAAAAAACCTAAACATGTATATTACCATGATGAAGTTAGTTGAACTTATGAACAACTACAAGATGAATATTAAAGAAATCATTGTTATTTTCATTCAGAACATCAAGACCTATCAAGTTATCATATTGAGTACTCAGTTACCAGCCAAAACCTGCATACAATCTTTAAATAACTAGGAAAAAAACATACCTGGAATGTTCCTAATATCAGCCACAACTGATCTATGACCAACACAGCACCTTAGGTTAAAGTACCACATTTTTTAGTCAGTGTGGTGACACATAAATAAAATATATGGATAAAAATGAATTAAACATAGATAAAAGTCTCCTATCTGAACATCATATCCACACAACCGGCAAGACGACAGTAATTAATAACAGCAAAAAAGTTATGGATGTGGCAGCAGGGATGATGTCTAGCCTGGGACAAAAAAAACCAACCACAAAATGTAACTAAAAACCAGGAGAAAAGGGGGATCTACTGTGTCTGAAAGGAGAGAGGGACTGACTATCTTGGTCACAAAAGCCAGGGATATTCAGGGACACTCCAACACATTAATTCCACTGAGGGAGATAAGGCAAGAGAAATAGCAGAGGAAAGGAAGCAGGCTATTAAGATACAGTATTAGTGAGGTAGGAGCACTTAAGTCCGACTCTTTCCTACACTATTCATGACACTCATATAGTCACAGAAACATTACATCCTGTATTGTAGTGCTTTATTGCAATGGCAGTACTGACCAATAGACTGGTTTTTAAGAAATACTAAGTAATAATCTCGGGCATTAAAGTTTCAAAGAAGCTTACATATAGTGCTGAATGTATTCCCAAAATGAACCAAAACATTGCCCTGGCTTAACAAATAAACAATGATACTATATACTGTTATGCATTGCACAGAACTGTGGTTTATATAAATATATGCAGTAAGTATACACACACACACACACACACATCGGATAAACATATCTTTATGGGGACCGCTCATTCATTTCTATGGGAAAAATGCTAATGCTAACTATGACAACCTTAACCCCTACCCAGCCCTAA